CCATGCTCAATAATCCAGGTATGCAATCCAACATTTTTCAGTCAAGTCATCTGGACAGTTTCTTCTTATTTTTTTATTTTTTTTTGGTGCTGAAACGTTTCGCCTTTGGTTCGGAAGGCTTCTTCAGTCAAGGAAACACACAACAAAACTGATTCTTCCCCCAACAGCTTACTCCAAAGTGGAACAAACCAGTTCTGCTTGTGATAAGATGGTCTCTTTGGTACGCCCCCTCTTCCGTTGCCGGTCCTCTTCCTTGTTGACAGTCTTGTCAAACTGTTTGAAAACAACAAAGTCCATGCTCAATAATCCAGGTATACAATCCAACATTTTTTAGTCAGGTCATCTGAACAGTTTCTTTTTTTTGTGGGTGTGTGCTGAAGATTCAGCAACAGATTCAGGAACTTCCCCGCAAAGAACAGCCTGATGTACTTTGTACTTAATGAGCTTAAGGAAATGTGCTTGGATATGGCTGCACTGAGGAACCTAGGAGCTGAAGTTGCACAAATAAGAGAGTCAGTTCAGAGACCAAATCCACCACTACCACATCTTCCCCCTCCTGCAACACAGGAACACATCCCTCCTCAATCCCGGGTTTTACTTGAAAGCCCTGGGGCACTTTGAGGACAAGAGTGAAGAAACAATATTGCACCATATCTGCAAAGATTTCCATTCCAGCACCCATACCCACCTGTGAATCGTGCCCACCCAAGAAAATGTTTTGCGTGCCAACAAAATGGATGCGAGTACTGCAATCACTGCTACCGCTGCGGTAGCACTGAGCACTTTATCGCAGGCTGCAGAATCAGAGTTGGACATGAAAAAGGTGTTCTTTTAAATGGAAGAGGGTTATTTCCGCGGGACAGGAAGTAACCTGCAACACTGGTTCGTCCCATCAGCATTGCTGTTTTTGTGGAGTCCTTGGAAAAGAGCACAGACTCTGAATTTGTGCAATGTGCAAAAAAGATACCTTTTGCTCCAAAACCTGTCAAGCTGAACACTGGTCAACACATAGGAAACGGTGTGAACAGCATTAAAAACCAAAAGCAAAGAACATGCACACACAGAAAAGGGACAACACAACTCACCTTGTTTCTTTGGTAGGCAAAAGATGTATGGTTAACTGCTACATCCAAGGCAAGAAGACTCAAGCATTGTGGGATACAGGCTCGCAAGTCAGTATCATTGATGAAGAGTGGAAAGTGAAAAATTTACTACACGAGGAGCTTAAAGATATCTCTGGTATCTCTTGATGCTCCTGATGACTTACAAATCACTGCTGCAAATGGACAAAACATGCCATATAAAGTATCCTGATACATGCTCAATAATCCAGGTAGAAAAATCCAACAAAGTTCAATCTGATCCTCTGGACATTCAAAAAAAAAAAAAAAACAGCAAAAAAATGTAGAAATGTTTCGTCTCTCATCTGAGAGACTCAGTCTGAGGTGCTGTATTCAGCTCAGTCTCTTAAATAGTACCTTCTCAGAATGGATCAAGCACAGAAACACAGAAGATCAACATCATCAGGCCAGGA